CAGCCCAAGTCTATTTAATTTATTGTTTTGGTTGTGTGTGATTTAATTAGTTTTCTATAATTTAATTTTGTTTTATTTATTATATATAATTTATATATTTGAATATTATTTCCCATTTCATTTGCAATGTTGAATGTTCAATACAGAGTTCTGTTTGAAAGGATGTACCGGTACTTGAATTATTATTATATATTATCATTATGTCAGTGGTCTGAAAATGGTCTTACAACGGTGCCGACAATATTATCGTTTATCGCAATAATTTCCGGGAAAATGTATCGTCCAAACATTTTTATTATCGTGACAGGCCTACTCTTGGGTCACTTTTGCTATTTACAAAAAAGAAACACTCAAAAATGTTACACCTTCACATTATACTGTACCTGGTGATTTTAGCAAAAAACAGATCAGTTGGGTTATTCTGTCCCACACTTTTATTTTTATGTTTAATTCAGTAGTCAAGGCTGTCAAAAAAAAAAATACCACAGGTTTGCATGCAAGTGTGAATGTCATTTCATATTTTCATTACAGGAGATTTTCAGCATCTGGGGCAGAGGAACAAGAGCAGTGCATTCTCTATACCAATGTACTGGAATATGAGCAGGACCATGTAAGTTTGCAAGTAATCGCCACACATGTATCAAAACTAATGGCAGTCGTCTCGAGAAATTCTGTGTATATAATTATACAAAAATGCTTAAAATAACTTTATGCTTACATGCTTCTCATACTATGTTGTTGCACAACTTTAAACAAAAAGGAATCAATTAAGAACTAATGGATACATTTGATGTTGCTGAGTTGGGCTAACAGCTATCCAGTAATGAGCATTGTTGATGAAATTATAGATATGGTTGTCTTCAAGTCATTTATAGATGTTTGTGTGTTCTACAGGATTGGCCTAAACTGTGGAAAGCCAACATGAAGGAAAATCCTGGTGATGTCACATTAGTATCAGGTCTAGTCTCCTACCTACTCAGGTATCTGAATGCAACATGTGCATTTGAAATTTTATTTTATTATTTTTCACAAGTAATACTTGTGGTTTAGTGCATAGAATGACAGGATATGTGTTTTATTGCTGAGTGTTGGAAGTCCCTGAAAGTCCTTATTCTTACATTGCATAATATCTTTGTTACTATGACAATTAAAAAACTTGATCTATATTCAAGATTCAAAAGGTTGAATTTCATATCTTATACACAACTGTAGTTATGTAATGGATGAAAAACTTTGATCACAGGTTGCTCAACCGTGCAATTACAGTTTTGGTGCTTGATCTGGTGTTCAAACTCCCCATGTGACCATAAAACAGGAATACTGCACATGCTTGTACATTCATCTTATTTAAACTTTTAACTTATATTTATAAACGGGCCTTAATAATGGCTTTTGTTGCGCCATCATAGCTCTGTTTTAGTTGTATTGCGTCAGGCCTGTCAATACTTGACGGCTCAGAGGTGTTTGTTTCTCCTTTGTTATCTTTAGACAGGCTTCCACCTAGTTTGACACAAGAGTTACCATAGGCTACACGCTCAAATCAATTAATGATATAACCGAGATAAGTATGTGTACACATAACTTGTTTTTTACCGTCCCTCTCGATGCTGTCAAGCTTAACAATAAGTAATAATAAAATGCTTACGATCTATAAAATTGTATATATAAATAGGAGGAATTAGAATGGTTATGGGATAATGTCATCATGCTTGGTAACAGGAAATGTAATATTTAGATGATGTTGAAATAGCATTTGTTCTGTGTCCTCAGCCGGGCAGACCACCCAGTGGTGAAGCTGCTAAGGAAACACCAGTACCGGGTTTACAACAGACTCTACCCCATCGTCAGTAAAGGTCTCGTCCAGAGTCCTCCACGCCCGCTGACACCTTCTCGCAGCACTCACCTTCCTCACCCAGGTAGGGCCAGTACCAGCGGTTTGTGAGGTTCCTCAGCTTGTGTCTGTTTCGTTTACGGACTGATGATTTCGTACCTAAACAAAATTGTGTCAGTGAAACCAAGCCAGTAGATCAGAATACCTTGATTCGTCCCACAGAGGGGACATTTACATTGTTACAGCAAAAGTAAAGGGCGCAAAATAATATTTAACAGGCATGAATAATATATTAAAGATAAAAATATAAATTACACAAATTACAATTTACAAAAATACACATCAAGGACCAGTAACAGTATTTAAAAAATAAAAAATAAACAAGTGGAGCGTGTATTAAGTAGTGTGATAGCAGCCAGGTCAGGGGTCGGCAACCCGCGGCTCTCGAACCGCATGCAGCTCTTTAAGCCCTCTACTCTGGCTCCCTTGAGCTTAGACAAAAATAAGAAGGAAATAAAATAAAAATATTTGTAGGACTATTTATATTTTGTTGCACGGTTGAACATGTTTCGTATCTTGTATTTTGAGCAGTGGCAAGCCATCAGGGCCCTCTAGGCCCTCTCTGAGGGCCTAAGATATTCTACAAAATAATATTTAAAAACATTAAAAAAAGTTTGAATTAACATTTCCAAAGAAATAAATCCTTCGAATCGGCCTATGCAGTTTCTGTTTGAATGTGAAGGGTTAAATGAAAGAAGCTCATCTCTACCATAGACTGTATATATAAGGGTCTCTGCGAGTTACTGTGAAGACAGGAGCTGATTGGTGGTCCAGCTATGAATTCACAGAGGGCCCGCGAACGAGAGAGTAATGTCAAATGACCGTACAATTGACCAATCATATCTTCCCTCTAAATTATGACAAGTTCCGCCCGCTGTGAAGCTTTTCTTGTTTCCATAGCAACAACAACTTCCTGTCAACAGCGTAAACTCACCTTCAAAATAAAAGCATGCCAAACTGCAACGAAAGTATCAAACACAATGCAATATCCTTTTCAATTTCAAAGAACACAAATTGGATTATTTACAGGTGTTGTTTTGTGTGGTAGAGGGACGCTGTCATTGATGCGCTTTGCACCCCAGGCCGTTGTTTTGATATTCCGCTGAAGTATACGCTGTGACGTAATAACTTTTTCTTTTCTTTTTTCGAGGGAAGGGGTGGGGGTCAGAGGGCCTAGGTATAAAAGTCACGGCTCGCCACTGCATCAACATCACTAGGGGGTGCTACATTAGCATTAATGCATTTCTGAAATGTTATTGATCACACAGAGAAGAAGACGACCAGAGGCAGCAGTGTTGGCGGCCAGAGCTTCAGCACGGCCTCCTCCCACTCCCCCTCACTCTCTCACGACCACTCCACCAACGATGAGGATGAGGTAGAGGAGGAGCTTCACTCACAGGCGACGGTGGATCGGGAGAACTCGTTTGAAGACCTGGAGCAGTTCCTGACCCAGCTGGACCGGACCCCGCTCCACAGCAGCACAGAGGACTCGGAGGGGACCTGTGATCCGTCGCTGCAGCCGGAGCAGGACGAGGGCAGCCTCCAGGAGCTGGAGATGAGAGCGCTGACAGAACATCTGAAGGCTGTGGTCAAAGACATTCATATTGCAATCGGTGAGCACAAATATAGACCATGTCCGATACGATTATACTCTGTCATTGAGTCCAACATTTGTATTCTTGCTTCACAGCAGCTGCATTTGCAACATCATCAAGGACAAACATTTAAGACAAGATACATGGAAACAGACATTTAACATAACTTCACAATCACTGAAATGAAACTGCTCGAGACCGTCCAACATACATTTAACTGTGTATTTAATGCTTCAGTCTGACCTTATGAAATCATAGGACCTTGTATCTCTGATTTGATGGCAACACTTCATATTTGCTGTTCAGGACACGGTTGGAGTCAGAGATGATGTTGTTGGCCAGCCTTAATATGTTGTTATGGTAGGCTGATTCGTAGAGTCTCTCAAAAGGTCGACTTACAATCCTTCAGCAGATTCTCAACTGGTGGAGGAGTTTTGACTGTTAAGCGGTAGACAAACACTTGTACATTGTAGTATTGCAATAGTGTACGGTTTCTTTTTCAAGCATAGACAGTGTCTTATGTTGATTTTAAGCAACAATTTTTTGTTGATGTGGACATCAGTCAGTGTCAAACTGTTTGGATAATAGTTTTTTGGGGGTCTTCTTTATTTGTTTCAGATCAACTTCTGTCCCTATGTTTGCTCTCCTTTGAGTGCCTCAACACAGCCAACTCTAAAGACCTGTGCCTGGCCAGCATAGAGGAAGCCTTCTTCACGCCACTCTGGAGCGTGCTGGTGGCTCTCTTCAGGTACTATAGCCTAAATACTGCCTTAATAAACCATCCTCAACTAAAATCCTTGTTAACTTAAACATAATCATCCATTAAGATGACCTTGAACATTTTAATTTAAATATTATCACTATCTATCCCATATCAGGTAATGCATGTTACTTATTATGGCCCGCTAATGGCAATTGCATTTGCAATATTACAAACTGGGTGTTGGTAGCAGGAATTCCTGACGCAGTGCCTTGAAGTTTAAACATTTAGTTATTTTATTAGCAATAAATGTTTGTTAATGCTTTTGCAAAATTAATATGCGGTGCTTCAGTTGGCTCTGCTTGATTGAAGCATGAATAAGTGCCAATCAAAAACATCAAAACGACTTATCTGATTCAGCAGTTTGCCAAATTTATCTTGGAAAACCACTCTACGTAAATTTTTTATTTATCTTAGGTTTGGGTTAACAAACAAACAAAATCCTTTACAGAAATAATATCTTCTGCCAGCTATGAGCTAATAACAACTTGCTTTGTGAATTGTTATATAGCGGTATACATAATCTGAATTGAATTAGCTTGCATGCGCAAGACGGCAGCATACAGCAGAGGAAATGCTCATGGAATGTTGATGCATTGATTTACTTTTTGTTTGAGTGAGTTTGAGTTGTTTGTTGAATTGAACAAGTCGCAGGCTATGCGGTTTGTGTTATAAAAAAACGTCTTAACCGTAAAAAGAAAATGTTAGAGGCTCCAGGCATTAGTGGTTAAGGTTTATTAATATACTCTTAATCAAAAATGTAAGTTTGACATCAAGTGTTGGTCATGACCAGCATGTGGCAGTGCTGCTCTAAGTATGTCAGCTTTTCCTTTAGCTTTATTGCTGGTTTTAACTTCAAATCGTTTTTTAAATGATCAGTTGTTATTTGTACGACCATTTCTGACATCTGCTAAATGTACATGTACCTCTTCTCACAGCACCATGAAACTTTTCTATACTATTTTGGAATGTTTTATGATGTGTTCTGCATTACTTTACTGAAAGAGGACCTCCTGGTTTCACAGTGTGTAGACCAAAAGTGTAAAGTAACTGACCCATGTCAAAATGTTGTCCACCTTGCCCTACATTTTTTCATATCCTTTTCATTCTCGGATACATCTTTGTGGACTGTCATTTATTGAGATTTGTTATGATAGGAAAAGCACAGGCGTAAGTAATGTTATTAACAATGTTTCAGTTTAGTATTTTGCATTGCAATTTAGTAATGAATGAATAATTGAGTTACTCCTTTGTAAAAAAACTAAAAACGATTTGACCTAAGTTCCCCCTGGTCAAATGCCCCCCTGCAACGTCTCTGCAGCTTCCAATTGAAAGAAACATTGACCTAACAAGTGGGAGGTTCCCCTATTCCTTCACTCCCAGTCCCTTGCCCAGACCAACCAATATGTGTTGGTGGTGGCACTGCAAGTATGACAATCCCAGCAGGCTTCCCCCCCAGGAACACTGTCAAATTGTTAAATTGAAATGCTCAAGCCATTACAAATAGACTTCTGCACCATCACCATATTTTTTTTTTTTAAATGTTCTGTGAATAAATTACCATTGATGATTTCTTATCTTGCTAACAGTAAAATGTGGAATGCACAACAATGAACTCTGTACAATGAAAGATTATGTAATGCCGACTTAATCGCAGATACCATTCATCTTCCAAAAAGCCTGGCAGCCTCACTTGAATACATTGTTGAAATGTTTCCCCCACTTTTTCTCAGTGTAGTTAGCTCTTTTCTTTCCTTCTCAGGAGGGTCTACAGAGAAAGGGAGCAGGCCTTTGAGATGAGTATGAAGCTGTACCAGGATGTTTCACCTGGAGATGTTGGTGTTCCCTCCAAACTATTCCCCGAAGACTCTGACGCCCAGCAAGGTTCCTACCCATATGAGTCTGCTGTGCAGGAACTGAAGCTTCTGCTCAAAGACTGCTGTCCACAGAGGAAGTTGGAATGCATTGGTGAGTCACATTGTGTTGTTTTATTCTCCCTCACCCAAGACTGACTTTCAGGACAGATAGCTTCTCACCTGATGGTTCTATTCAGCCCGAAAGAGGCCAGACACCATGTGGATTGTGTGTTTTCTCTCAGGTTGTTTTCTTTGAGATGTTGCAAAGTAAATCAGGATCTGTATTTATCATCTCAATTTGGCTATAATAATTTTGTAATCTTATGACAAGACTTGTCGAAATGTGACGAAAACCCCTTGTCCTGGACCCTTTTGTGTTTACTATCAGCTTGTCATTCATTATTTTCAACCAATCAGTGACATAAGACAGTGATGGCAGAAATGCCTTGACATGCTTTAAAAAATATATTTGAATCGTGTGAATGTTGCTATAAAATTAGATGGTAGGCCGGATTTTGCCCGCGGGCCTTGTGTTTGACATGCCTGCCTCAGAAGGTATTACAAAGTGTAACATTTAGTTCACACAAGCAAGTTAGTATAAAATGTTTGTTTTGGAAGTAGCATTGTTTTGTCAGTGGAGTTACATCTTGCAGCATCAAACTGCTACTCCCTACAGTAAGCTCAATGTGTTATAATTGTCAAGCGTCAATTTTGCAAAACCTTTAAAATTATATATTTGATATAAGCTAGATTTGACATTAGTCGACATGTCGGCCAGATCATCTGTACCGGTTTCTTACATATTTGTATACCAGAACAATATAGCAGCAAGTTCTTCTCTATGCAGTGTTAAACTCTTAGATTAACTATGTGATTCCCTCAGGAAGCCTGTAGGGCTGTCCCGAATACCATTTTTGGGCTCCGGATATTCGGTAGTAATCAGCAGCGAACCGCTTCGACACGTGTATTTCGGTTTATTCACGGCATTCTTTTCGTTATTATACAGCAGGGCTTCTAAAACTCCGGACCAAGGTCCGGATTCGGATCGAACTGCAAATCAATCCGGACCGAACCCTGTGTCCCATTTATAAACATTTACAAAAAACAAAACAAAAAAACATTCTGATTCTGATTCTGACCTATTATGCTATATTGGAAACATATATTGTAGGGCCATGTGAAGTTTTTTGCTTAAAATACCAAACAGATCACCCATTGTAGCCATGCCTTACTGCTCAAACCCCTCTTTTCTAGCCCTGTTAGAGAAACGTGGATTTTGGGTCCTTAGCTTGAAAAAGAAAAAAGAGGAGGCGGAGCTAATGCCTGATCAGAATTCTACTGGAGATAAAGTTAAATTCTGCTGTGATAAAACGCCATCCTGTTCTAAACCACATCAAAGATTATTTCTGAAACAGTATGGAGCTTAAATGCTTTTTCTCTTGCGGGTTTACCACGAGGTGAGTTCCTTTTTTTATTTCCTGCTTTTTAAACGCATGTGCTGTACAGTACAGGTTAGCTCTGAGTGTTAGCGAGGCTTGCTAATGTAAACAAAGACGAGATTACGTCCAAAACACGTCAGGCATTGTTTCTGATAGCAATTTTCTGTGGGTCCGCCACCGATTTGATGTCAGATCGGCAGCAAATCTGTATCCGCTTGTTGTACCCCTGTTTTTAAAAGATTTGGGTACGGAGGAAAAGAGAGAGGGTTTTATTTTCTGACGCTGCTTGAGTTCCCCGACGCACCGGGGACACATATTTATGTATAAAATACATCACAAAGTGCATTTTGCATGATAGCCCCTTTAATATATCTGGCTAGCT